AGGTGCCCCCCGGACGGGCTCCCCGAGGCCCCGGGGGGGGCGACCCGCCGCCCGCCCGCCGCCGAGGGGCTCTGGGCGTCAGGTGCTAGGCGGAGGCACGGTGATCGTGTGCCGTCGCCGTCGCCGTCGTCGTCGGCGTCGGCGTCGTCGTCGTCGTCGTCGTCGTCGTCGTCGTCGTCGGTGTCGCGCGTCGGCGTCGGCGTCGGCGTCGCGCGTCGCGCGTCGGCGTCGGCGTCGGCGTCGTCGTAGTCGTCGTCGTCGCCAGAGTCGGCGTCGGCGTCGCCGTCGTCGTCGTATGCCTCGAGCCCTGCAAGGTCGGCCTGCCATTGAGTTCGAACTTGTAAGCACTGGGGGGTCTGGGACGGGCGCGCATCTTATGGCAGATTACCAGCTCAGCCATCCTCCCGGCCCTGCACCTTGGCCATCCTCCTGGCCCCAAGCCTCGGCCATCCTCCCCGCCTCGCACCTCGGCCATCCGCCGCGAAATGTCGCCCCACATCGGCCTTCAAACTGCCGCGTCTGGACTGCCAGGGCCCCCATGGTCGCCGCAAAGATGCAGACCCCCCCTGGGGCTTACGAGTTCGAACTGCCTCGAGCCACGCAGTCTCGAACCCACATCGAGTTCGAGCGGCCTCGAGCACTGCAGGCTCGAACTCAAGTTGAGTTTCTACCGAATGGAGCCCTGCAACTTCGAACTCAAGGTGAGTTCGAACCGCCTCGAGCCCGGCAAGGTCGAACTCAAGGTGAGTTCGAACCGCTTCGAGCCCGGCAAATTCGAATTCAAATTGATATTGAACCGCCTCAAGCTCTACAAGTTCGAACTCACATTGAGTTCGAGTCGCCTCGAGCCCTGCATCTTCGAACTCAACTGAGTTCGGATCGCCTCGAGCGCTTCAGGCTTGAACTCAAATTGACTTCGAACCTGAAAGGCCCGAGGCGGTTCGAACTTACATTGAATTCGAGCCGACGCGAGCCTTTCAACTTGGAACTCAACTAGACTTCGGACTGATGCGAGCCATGCAAGTTCGAACCCAAGTCGAGTTCGAATCGCCTCCAGCCATGCAGGTTCGAAATCAATTCGAGTTCGACTTCGAAGGGCTTGGGGTGACTCGAGATTAATGCCAGTTCGAACCGACGCGAGACCTTGAAGTTTGAACTCCAAGTGAGTTCGAACTGCCTCGAGCGATGCAGGCTCGAGCTCAATTCGATTTCGAGCTTGGAAGGGTCGGGGGCGAATAGAATTCAGTCTGAGCGACGCGAACCCAATTCAAGGTCGAACTCGAATTGAGTTTGAACCGCCCCGTGCCCTGCAGGTTCGAACTGAATTGGAGTTTGAGCTTGAAGGACCTGGGGTGTTTCGAACTGAACTTGAGTTCGAACCGACGCGAGCCCTTCATCGGGGAAACGTAAGACTCGAGTACGCGGTGACTCGGGTTCGCCTACGTTTCTTGGCGAGCCCGTCCTGAAATCTGTCGGTCCAGTTTTCGTGGGATGCCTGCGGCGGGAGCCCCCGTCAAATTTCAAACTGGGTCGGGTCATTTTTATGGTGGCTCCGTCAGGCCAACCCGAGTCCCCCTAGCCCGAGACTTGAGTTGAGCCGCCTCGAGCCCTGCACGTTCGAATTCAATTCGAGTTCGAACTTGAAGGGTCCGAGGAGGTTGGAACACAGTTTCTCGAAACGACAGGAACCCTTCAATATCAAACTCATGTTGAGTTCGAATCGCCTCAAGCCCAGCAGGTTCGAACTCAATTCGAGTTCGAACCAGCGCGAGCCCGTCTAGTTCGAACTTACATTGAGTTCGAACCGCCTTGAGCCCTGCAGGTTCGAAGTCAAGCTGTGTTCGATGATGCTTCTGATGGCTGGTGATGCAGATGTGGTTTCGACACCGAAAACCAGAGAACGTCGAACGAGTCGATCGTCCCCCAAACAATCGCGCTACCGACGGCCAGACCGAACGAACTCTATCAGGGAACAAACTTTCGGACCGTAGTTTTTTTATACACGTGGTGCGCGACGCCGAGCCAGAGCCCCCCCGCTCCGCGCAGCCGAGTACACAGGGCACGGAGCATAGACTCTGTGCCCCGGAGAGCAAGGGGTCCCAGCCCTAGTTCGGGCGCCCCTGCGCGGTGCGCTAACCACTCCGTGTGGTGATCCTCCTCCTCTTCCTCCTCCTCCTCCTCCTCCTGTTCCTCCTCCTCCTGTTCCTCCTGCTCCTCCTCCTCCTCCTCCTCCTGCTCCTCCTCCTCGTGTCAGGCCAGGGCCATCCTGGGCCCCAAGACGGTGTACAGACCCTCCTGGCCTCGTGCCGGGAGGGCGTGCGCACCGCGCCAGGGCCAGGCTTGCCCTGGCTTGACACGGTGGTGATGGTGGAGATTCGCAGTATCGTTTAACCGACCCCCATCCCCATGCTCATCCCCTTCGATACCCCCGCCAAATTACCACCCCAGTTGGGGATACACCCCTCGAAACCCGAAGAGAGCAGCCTATATCCCCTTCAGGGGGGTAAATCGGCCAGTGGGGCCCAGCCCACGCTGGTGGGGATGGGGATCGGTTTAACGATGCTCAGTGGGGTGACCGCACGGTTGTGAGACGTGGCTCGTTCTCCGAGGACTTCCCGGGCGACTGGGGCCTCCCGGGTCCCACCGCCGTGCGGTGACGGACCGCACCCAACCTCTTGGGGGAACCATGCTTCTTTACCCCTGGGAGGTCCATCGGTATGGGTTGTAAGGAGCACAGCTCCCCCAGGCATGCCCGGTCGGCGCAGGGGAGCAGGGGACGGCTGTGGCCGCCGGCGTGCGGTTTTCTCGCTCGGAGCAGGGCTGCGGGACGAGGCGCAGCGAAGGATTCGCCTCGGAATTCTTCGGAGGGCACCAACTATACACCAACACCGATCCTGGCCCAGGATCACCCTGGGCCCAGGATCGGTGTATATGCCTTCTTGCGCAAGGCAGGAGGGCGTATACACCGATCCTGGGCCCAGGGTGATCCTGGCCAGGATCGGTGTTGGTGTATAGTTGGTGACTTCCTAATTCTGGCCAGAGCGCATCCCGGGAGAGGTTCGGGTTGTATCGGCGGCGAGCGAGAGAGGGAAACGAGAAGCAGAAGGCCTCCTCAGAGGGCGGCGGGACTCCTCAGAAGCCCTCGCGCCTTCTGAGAGGCTTTTTGTGTCTTCGGGGACGGCTCAGAAAACCTCTTAGAAGGCCCGGAAACTTCCGAGTTTTTTGAGAAGGCCCGCCCTTTTTTATCTCCCCCCCAATCGCGCCGCCCAGAGTAGCGATCCCAGTTTCGCCATTAATGGGAGGGCACTGTTCTGTTCCAAGAATGCACGCGGAAACGTCGTGTCGACCTTGGCCAGCGCCGATCTTGGCCAGCGTCAATTCGTGCACCATCCTCGCGCATCGGCGACGGCCGGGATGGAAAATGACCAAGGTCGGCATGGACAAGATCCCGCGACGTCTTTGTCAGTCCCCGTTCTTCTTCCCTTCAGGGGAGCAGCGATCCCGATTGCGCCGGTCACGGTGGGGCATGGTTCTGTTCCGTCCTGGCCTGCCCGCCCTGCCCGTCCTGTTCGCTCGCCGTTCAAGGCTCGGCATGGCTTGAGGCGGTTATTTCTTTCTCTGGGCGTTGGCTTCTCCTGCGCTGTCCTTGCGGGCTCTCCCTGCAGTGTTGTGATCAAGTCGGGCGTGGCCCTCTACAGGAGGAGGATTCAGCAACAGTAAGAAAAATAGTCAGGGGACGATTTGTATTGACTACTTTCGAGATTATATATGTGTTGATTATATATATATATATATATATATATATATATATATATATCTGTATATATATGTATATATATATATATAACCTTCCAAAGTCCGCCTGTAGGAGGACAGGCCCGACCTAATGTTATGTCGGGGAGGGCTCCTGCAGGGCCAGATCAGGGACCCTTCGTTTTTTTTGTTTTGTTTTGTTCTTTCCCTCCCCCCCCCGACAGCTTCCCGCAGGAGCTGTCGCGGGCCCGCCCGGGAGTTCCCGCAGAGACCCCACGGAGGCCCCGCGAAGCTGAGTGCTTCTCTGCCCATGCGGGCTCCCCTTGCGGTGGCTTCTTCGGGGGTCCCGGGCGGGCTGGCGTGCAGCAGTTGCCTGTCTGGTGCCCAGTCTGCGTCCTCCTGCAGGGAGGGTCCTTGGCCCTGCGGCTGATAAGAGGTATCGAGCAGAGTCCACGATCGTGGGTGACGAATTGTGGCGAGCGGTGGTGATGATGACGATGACGGTGATGATGACGGTGAAGACGACGGAAGACGAGGTGGACGATGAGGACGATGACGTGATGAGGACGATTATGATTCTGATAATGGTGATGATGGTTGTAGCGGTGATACGACGACGACAACAACGAGGACGATTATGATGCTGATAATGATGGTGATGGTGATGATGAGTGATGGCGATGTGACCACGATGAGACTGACCAGTGATGATGACGATGCTGCTGCTGATGCTGATGACGTTGAGGATGACGATGCTGATAACGAGGTTGAGCCTGATGACCATTTTGATGATGACGAAGATGAATCCACAGATGAAGATGACGATGATGATGCTGATGATGATGATGATGGTGATGATGATGCTGATGCTGGTGCTGCTGCTGATGATGATGCTGCTGATGCCGATGATGACGATGACGAGGATGATGATTCTGATGCTGCTGCTGATGATGATGACGATGGTGTTTGTGGGACTGGGGATGATGATGCTGATTTTGATGATGATGATGCCCATGCTGCTGCTGATGATGATTATGATGTTGATGGTGCTCATGATGGTGCTGGTGCTGCTGCTGCTGATGAAGATGATGATAATGATGATGATGCTGATTACGTTGATGATGATGATGCTGCTGCTGCTGATGTTGATGCTGATGCTGATGCTGATGATGCCGATGATGATGATGATGATGCTGATGATGGTGATGATGCTGACGATGACGAATCATGCTGCTGGTGCCTGCTGA